GAAAGGGGATTGAAGCAGATCAAATAGTTTATAACTCAGCTGGAATTGGCTCACATACTGAGGGGAGATGATCTCCAGGAGGCCCAGCTGTGGGGAAAGAGAAAGGTAGACAATGAAGGAAAGAGGAAGATCTGGGGTAGCCAACCACAAGTGATTTCACGGAAATAGGAGGACTTTCACATGATGGTAGTTGTGCCTCACTTGTTAATCGTAAGTACAGAAAGATATTATGAGTTCGGTAATGATTTCCGATAAAATAATGTGTATACACTTGGAAAATATCAACTTGTCATAATATAATAGCTAAAACTCACTGAATGCACATGCGTGTCCAGGATCATTTCACTGGATCTCTAAAATTACCTCCCTAGGTGTGTAACATCCATTTTATAACTGAAGAAACTGAGGCCCAGAGAATACTCATAGTAAAGGAAAAGTTGGAGTTTAAACCCAAGTACTACCAATCCAGACTTGGCGTTTTTGCAGAGGCTGCAACCCTTCGTAATAAATTCGTGTCTGAGCCAGAGATTGGGGACCACTGATTTAAAGCTTATTTGCGGTTTTGTTATGGTCTGAATGGGTTCGTTTGCAGATTATTGTTTCTATTTCCAAATAGGGCCTATCTGCTAAGGAATACTAAGGGTCATTTAAGCTAAATATCAAGAGACACTTTGAAAGAGATTTGTTAGTTGTCCAAGTTAATTCCAATTGTGAAAATAGAATCAGAACAACAACAAAAATTAGAATATAAATTGAGCTATTTAAATTTTGCTGTTACAATTCAGAAAAAAATAGCTGAACCATTCATATTCAGAGAGGAGTTTGTTTTTTCTAATTATCAAAATTCAGAACAAATAATTCTTAAGGTATGAATGACCCTAATTTTTCTTGGGCTTTAGATTCTTCTAGCTTCAACTTCCTTACTGTATCATGTCTGTTTCCCTTTACCATGGATAGTAGGTAAGGACACTTTTTTTTGAGAGTGTCTGCTGCTCTCTGCAAACAAAGTCAAAGTCACTTGAGAAAAATTGGTTACTAGCCATGTATTTGCATTTATCAGTGCCTAAAAACATCTGGCTGAAGAACTGGTCATTTGCTCAAATGACCACATTTACTCATGCACGGAGTTCTTTCCTCTAACAGTTAATACTATCTGAGAGCTTGATGTATCCAATTCTTGGACAATCTATACTTTTTGCTCTTTTCCAGTTGCCTGCCTTCTGGTTATTTCTTTGCATACCAACAGTGTCAGGTGAAAGAATAGAGATTAGGTAAACTTTATCTTCATTTTTGCTATAAAAAAAGTGCTTAAAAATTAAGAAGAATGATTTCAAATGAAGTATGGCAATGATGGTGTTTTTAATTTAGCTCTTCATTTCCCAATAATACCACCCCAGCTCCCTGAGAAGTGACTTTGCTTTTACATGTCCTCAATATTTCTTTTTTCCTAAGATTCTAGGATGGTGCCTGATAGGTTCAGCATCTTTCTTCTCTCTGCTTACCATTTGTTATGCTCGCTGCCGATCTAAAGTTAGCTATCTTCAGCTGAGTTTTTGGAAGACATATGCACAAAAGGAGAAGGAGCAGCTGGAAAATACATTTCTGGACTATGCCAACAAGCTGAGTGAGAGGAACCTGAAATGCTTTTTTGAAAACAAAAGGCCAGATGTCATTCCCATGCCCACTTTTGCCGCCTGGGAGGCTGCTTCAGAGCTGCATTCTTTCAACCAGAGCCAGCAACACTACAGCACCCTCCACAGGGTGGTGGAGGATGGTCTGGAACTTAGCCCTGAGGAGGACGAGACGACAATGGTCCTTGTGGGTTCTGCCCACAATATGTAGCTCATTCACCATCACTGACTCGTGGTGTCGAGTGGTACACTAATTCTGAGATCCTCCGACTGTATCAACAGCAACCTGTGTATCTCTGTAGTTTTTTACATTTAAGGTTTTTTTTTTACAAGACAGTAATACAAAGGAAATTGCTTTGAAGCTCTCAAGTGCAGTGTCACGATGTGCTCAAATTGATAACTTCGTGGTGACGAAGGTGCTCTTGCATTGGCGGAGAGTTGGGCTCCATAGGCTCAAACACCACTCCAAGTTCTGAGATTTTGTCACTCAACAGAGAGACTCATGAAAGTGGGTCTGCCAGTCTTTGTCAATATGGGTCACAGAATCTGGGGGCAGACGCAGTGGCTTGTGAGCAAGCAAGTTACTCTTAACATAGATTAACCTGCGTGATGCATCTGCTGTGTGGTCAGCAGGAGTCTTTGTCCTGTAAGTCTATCCCACTGCCTTTTAAGGATATATGAAATTCGACCCTTTGAAATTCATTGCCTCGGTATTGGAAGACTTCAGTTCTCAAAATGAAAGAATATGATGACTAAAACTCAGTTTTTCACACATTTTCAGTGTATACTGAAAATATGTTTCTGGAGGCATGGTCATGCCATGACTTTTGTGGGCCTTGGCACTTTTGTCACCGTGGACCACTTTCTACATTCAAAATAGTAACAAAAAATAAATATATATACAAATGTACATATTTATGACTGCATTGATATAAAAATGAATATATTAATATTATATATTAAAATACTTTCTTCAACCTAAAAGTTTATTTATTTCCTTGTGATTTTAAAAGAAATTAAAACACTTCTGTGGGGTCCTACAAGTGTTGTGGGCCCTAAGCGTGGTGCCTACTACACTGTGGGTATGACTTGTTCTGTTTGGGTAACTATAAGAAAATATCATAGTTTGGGGCCTTATAAACAACAGAAATTTATTTCTCACAGTTCTGGAGGCTGGGTAGGTCAAGATCAGGGTGCAAACATGGTCAAGTTCTGGTGAAAACAGTTTTCCAGGTTGCGGACTGCTGACTTCTCACTGTGTCCTCACGGGGTAGAAAGTGCAAATAAGCTCCCTCAGGCATATTTTATAATGATACTAATTCCATTCCTGAAGTTCCACCTTTCTGATCTAATTACTTTCCAAAAATCCCACCTCTTAATACCATCACCTTGAGGGTTAGGATTTTAACATATGAATTTTGTGTGGTGGGGGGGGCAGACAAACATTCGAACCATCATAGGGTAAATTGGCCCTGACTAAAGGTCTAAGGACACTGTCTAAAGCAGTACAGGTATAAAACTGTTTTGCAGTTTTACATTTATCAGAAATAATGTAAATTTTGCATTCTACCATGATGTATATTTATGGTAGTTTATGTTATACACATATAAATTCCCCTTAAGTCTCTGAGGGACTTGTACTTAGGAATAAGAACCATGTTTTGTGCTGTGGCTCACACCCTACATCACTGAAGGTCCGTGTCCCCTAGCTTGAGAAAGCTGAATATTAGATCCTTATTACCATGAAACATGATGACAAACTGAGGGGAGAGTCCTGCAAATGTAAGACTCAGAACGTATCGGTGGTGCTGTTATTTGTAACAGAAATATATATTTGGTCTTGATTCCCATTCCTGGAGCAGACCTCCTAAAACTCTTGAAATCTCCAAAGTGCTGTGTTGTTTTCTATGCTAACAAGATGACTGATGGCTGGGGGCTCCTGAATGGACTCAGGATTGGGGCTGGTTGCCAGGGAATCCAATCCCGTGATTAGAGGGTTGGACTTTCAGCTCCACCCCCCAGACCAGGGGGAGGGAAGAGGGGCTGAAAGTTGAGTTGATTACCAATGGCCAATGATTTAATCAATCGTGCCTAAGTAATGAAGCCTCCATAAAAGCCCAAAAGGACAGAATTCAGTGAGCTTCTGGGTTGCTCAACACATGGAGGGTGGCATGCCCAGAGAAGGTTTGGAAGTTTGTGTGCCCTTTCTCCCAAAGCTTTTTCTATGTATCTCTTTCATATGGCTGGTTCTGAGTTGTATCCTTTTATAATAAACTGGTAATAATAAATAAAGTGCTTCCTTGAGTTTGTGAGATGCTCTGGCAAATGATTGAACCTGAGAAGGGGATCATGGGAAGGTCTGATTGTAGCCAAGTTGGACAGAAGACGTGGCTTACTTGGGAACCTACTGCTTGCGATTGGCATGGCATCTGAAGTTAGGGAAGGTCTTATGGGACTGAGCCCTTAACCTCTTGGGGGGGTCTGCATTTAAGTCAGGTTGGTGTCAGAAATGAATTGAATTGTGGGACACCCAGCTGGTGTTGGAGAATTGGTCAGTGTGGGAGAAAACCCACATGCTTAGTGGCCAGAAGCATTCAGTATTGTGTGAACATAAATGGGAAAACAGTTTGTTTTTCCTGCATACAATACCCTTGGGAACTTAGACGTGCAGGGTCAGCAGTGTGTGTGTGTGTGTGTGTGTGTGTGTGTGTGTGTGTTTGTATCAGGGACAGGACAGGGATTAGGGATACCAAAGGCAGAGGTGTCAGGATAGAGGGAGATAAAAGTGAGGAAAGACAAATGTTCATTCCAACAGGTTCTCATCCCAACTCCTGGTCCTAAATTCCTTTAGAACAGTCCATTTTTCAGGAGTAAAACAAGTCCAGGAAACCTTATCTATGAAAAGCATTGGAGGGGGTGGGTGAAGACAGGGAGAGCAAAACTGGTATCTGTTCCTGGATGTCCAGAGGGAATGTGGTGAGTCAGTTTTGACAGGGGGGACTTTAGAAGTATGGACACTCAGTTTTCTTAGTTTGGGCTACCTAGAAGCAGAGCCTGATACAGGAAGCTGTGCGTAAATGATTTATTAAAAGGGAATACTCTCAGGAGAAACCTATTATATTAGCAGGATAGACACAAGAAAGAATATAGTTTCAAGTGAAGTCTTAGCCCAGTCAATCCCACAGGGAGTTCTGGGACACCTGCCTCCCCTAGCTTGACCCATGGGGCCTCTAGAATGTCAACCTTGGCCTGATCCCAAGCGGGTTCTGGGACATCAGTTGTGTGTGTGAGTTGTTCCAGGGAAGGAGAGGACATTTCCCAGACAACTCTAGGGAAGGAGCCTCCAGCGGCCCAAGGGTCATCCTCCAGAGAAGGTTGCCCTGCAGCAACTGGGGGATGAGCATCCTGAAATTGGATATTTGGGGAGGGAACTAAAAGGGTCACACTCATAACAATCTCTTTTAGGTCTAGAATTGAAGCATAAAGAAGAGATCTCTGGACTAGAGCCAACCCAAGCCCAGGCTGACTCTCTTTTTAAACTTCTAATTTCCCCTGAAACTGAAAAGAATCAAATGCGTCTGTCAGCAAGTTTTGTCTTCTCCCCACCACTACTTCTTTATGACATAAAAGAGAGGATTGGAGAAGGCTCTTGGAAGGAACTCGATGCTTTCCCACACAAGGAATATAAACAAGGAAAAATTTCATGACATACAAGACCTATTCTGTCAAATTTATTTCATGAATAAATTGTGTACATATATACGATTCCTTTTTTTCTGTGCAGTTCCTACCTCTTTGTTTAGGCTCAAACAATGAACTCAGTTTCAGAAAACATTCAGCTTATTCACATCCATTATAAAATGGGAAAAAAGATATTTAGCAAAGATTACACTAATAAGGCATAGTAGATAAATAATTACATAATTCTATGCATTATATCTTCAAATACTACATTGTAAAATATATATGTGTCCAAAATAACTTTTTAAAAATATGTATGGTTTTCTACTTGGGATCTTTGAAGCATCCCTGAAAATGTATACATTTAACAGGAAAATGAAGAAATTAGTGATTCAAATTAGGTATTTTAAAGCCTGATGATCCACTGATTTACCCAGAGTTCAAGGTTATAGTGAGCTGTGATTGTCCCACTACACTCCAGTCTGGGTGAGAGGGTGAGGCCCTGTCTCTAAGGAAAAAAAAAAGAGAAAACTGCTACTTCTCACATAATGTAATGTATTGCAATTATTAGCTGTGTCACTCTACTTAGACTTTGGTGGTTCTGCATTCTCTAAGGCAAGTATCTTAATTTTCTAATATTTCCTTATCTTTTTTCTCTGTCAAATAAGCCAGGAGATATTTAATTTCTTTTGTGGGTAGTGCTTACACCTCTCTCTGTTTATATCCCAAAATCTTTAAGAAAAATCTAAGACATTGACATGAGAGGTTAGACGGAAAACATCTACCTGTGTTTGTCACTGACTCTCAATATCGGCTGCACATTGGAATCACCTGGGGGGTTTTGTCAGTTGAGTGTCTGGCCCCATCCCCTGAGATCCTGATGTAATTTTTCTGAGGTGGGGCCTGGACACTGGGATTTTTAAAAGCTCCCCAAGTGATTCTAATGTGCAGTGATAGTGGAGTACTAATTTTATATAGGAAATCGACAAAGGTGCTGGAGGAGTGCGAAGTTGCCATATTTGAAATGTTCTCTGGGTTTCAAACAGTGGAGTACAATAAAGGTTTAACAACTCTGTCTCCAGGAAAAAAGAAAAGTCCTAATATAAAGTATTTTCCCATTTTCAGTATGCAATTTTAAGTTACTAAGGTGATGTCACTGAATGTAGAGTTAGGAAGAAATACTAACCATGGGCTTTCTTGAGCTGCTGTGAGATTTCAAAGAAGGTTTTAAAGTTAGCATTTTTTTTTTTTTTTTTGATACTTAAACTGGCCAAGCCAACCACGGGGCATCTTTGATACATCTGGGTCTCATTTTAATAAAATCTAACAGTGGCGTATTATTCAGGGTGCTCCTGAGAAACAGAATTTTCTGTTTATTAATGGAATTTATTTATTAATATACATGAGAGGGGATTTATTGTGGGAATTGGCTTACTTGATTATGGAGGCTGAGAAAACCCACGACATACCATTTATAAGCAGGAGAATCAGAAAAGTGGGTAGAATGGCTCAGTCCAAGTCCGAAGGCCTGAGAACTGCAAGTCCTAGAGTTGAAGATGGAAGGACCTGGAGTTCTTAAGTCCAAGGGCAGGAGAAAATTGGTGTCCCAACTCCAGAAGCGAGCGAACGAGCAAATTTGCCTGTCCTCTGCCTTTTTGTTTTATCCAGACCCTCAATGGATTGGATGGTAACTGCCCACATTAGGTGAGGGCAGA